CATGTTCTGCCTCCATCCTCTCCGTGCAGGAGAGAGGTTGGCTTGTCCCGTGGGCTTGGCCAAGGTTGTCACAGCTGTGTTGTCTGACCCGTGGGAGAGGGTGCCTCCGGCTTGGCGTGGTACCGTCACGCGTTCTCTTTCCAAGCTGGGCCAATGAATGGCGGCAGCAGCAGCAGCGAGCGGCGAACGTCGTGTCGCTGTAGGAAACGCTGTTCCCTGCGTTCAGAGAGGAGCGCAGAGGATCCTCAGAGCTGCGTGACTGCACCCCCGCGCCTCCCCCGCCTCTCGGCCGCGCGTGGGCGTGTGCGCAGCCCTGCCTGCCGCCTGTCCGACGGAGGGGTACGGAAATACACTGCGGTGCTTGCTAGGAAGGTGGAGGTTCAGCCGTTTCGGCTTTTACTCCCTCTGGAAATGGAAGAATGTATGGCACGAGTGATGTCTGTACAGAGAGCAAGACTTCACGTCCTGGTAGCCAATAACATTACATAATGCCATCGTGCCAGGCCTCGGCTGCCCGAGCCCTTGGAAACCCAGTCCAGGTAGGGATTCTGCTGTGCAAAGCTCCCTGCATACGAGCAAAGCAGACCACTCCCTGCCCTCATGCTGCCCTGTCCGGATAGTGGCCAGCACAACCATCTGGCTCAAGATCTTCTTAAGTGCTCTTTGAAACGCCCCGTGGCTGGGTGTTAGGGAACCTGCAGTTGTAGCTGGTTGCCTCTGCTGTGCACCTGAGCTTCATCTTAGGGGAATGACCCGGTGTGGCTGAGCTGGAAGCATTTCTAGAACCCATGGCACAGGATGGCTTAAAAATTGTAAATGTGCAGAAATGGCCGCAAGGTAGATGTTCACATTACAGAAGATTCTGGGTTCTGTCACAGCTAACTGTCCTAGGAATCCCGAGTGATCTTTCCATAGAGCAGGCTTTCTACAGGCAGCAGTGGAAAATGCCTTTCACGTGCTGTTGTTGTTGTCAGCTCTCCTCATTTGGAAGAAACGAGTGCCCCCAAAAGATTAATTCCTGATCCACTTAATTCTTGTTTGTTTCCACCAACATTGCTTTTAGTTACGGGATATACAAGCATGTGAAGTGTTTTTAAATCATGCTTTCTTGGAGGTCTGTACCTACTACAAATGTCAGAAATTAGCACCATTGGCTGTTAGGCAAAAGTATGTTAGTAAGTAACTTATATTTACTGGGATTCCCTTGTTTCCTACTGGGAACCTTGGCTTTATTTAGCAATTTTTTTATATGCAGTTACTTGTATTCAGAGTTCTATGCTCCAAAAGTAAATGTCTGAGTTTTACCTAGCTCCCAAAAAAATGTAATGTGGAAAATTCCTTATTATTCAACTGCATGCAGTGTGTCAGCCATTTGAGAACACCTTGGAAATGTTATATTCTTTAATAGGTGGGGAGGGGGCTGGAGGTAGGGGAGGGGTTTGTTTAGGTCACTCTGACCTGGTTCTGGGTTTCCTGTTTTGTGATACCAGGCCCTTCTTTCCATGAACACTGAGTCCCTTTCTACCTCAGGAAGTGCATAGGGAGGCTGTTCCATTTCAAAGCTTGCAGTTCTCATCATGGGCAGTGCAGCTGAGAGAGGAATTGCCTGGTTTGCAGGGCAATCCGTAGCTTAGCTTTCCTGTTTGCTCTGTGTGGTCTTAAGGGAGCTGATGCAGATACTCATGTCTTGCTGGTCACGCTGCAAAGTGGGCATGTAGGAGTGAGGGAGGGGTAGAGGTTGGCCTGCTCACTTACAAAGGATTGTGAGTTTGCCAGCACAGTGCCACGTGCTGTAGTGGAGATTAAAGTTTTAAAGCGGGTGTCTTTTGCAGAGTTAGACAGAACAGAGTGAGGTTACAATGTGTATGGGGTGACATGTGGCTGTGAAAGGAAAGATGATAGATTTGATGTTCTGTAGCATAGTGGGAGCTCAGTACAATATACTTTTAAATGCAAAAAGCACCTAAATGCTTTTTTACAGCTTTGGGATGGGAGGGAATAGATAAATGTCTTTCCATGCTCTCATCTTTGTATTTTTGTGCTAGAAGGTAAATTGCAGTTCTGTTTGCAGCTATTCCAACCACTGACAATTCTTGCCTTGGGAAATTTTGTTGCTCAATCTCTTGCTATTACTGACCTAGGAGTGTACATTCCTCTGCTGTGACATTGCCTGTGTGTAGTCTGAACTGTAAAACATGCGTGGTTCTTGTAGGAATTCATTACTTGCCTTGTAGTAGTCTGTCATCATCTTTCTACTTCATAAGCAAAATCCCTCCCGCCCTAGAACCCATGAAAGAATATACTGTAGTGAATTATACAGTTTATGCTTTTCTCCATGTTGTAATGTTGAAGGAGGAGCTGACAGGGGTGTGCTGCCAGATCTGAGAGAGAACATGGGAAGAGGGGTGCAGGAAGAAGAAAATCCTGGAAACTTCTGGCATCTAGATGAACAGGACATGTATATGAATGGCTGGGAGCTGGCTGGTGCTGAAATACCATAGCAGTTGGTAGACAGATCAGGGATGAATATGAATTCTTGTTTTCTGTTTCTTGTCCTAACTTCCAGTTTGATTTAGTGGTGCAGGTTTGCTGGAGTTCCATGCACATTCTCCTTGTTTGTCTTTTAGTTGTAACCAAACTGACTCTAACTGCTGTTGTTTGTTCTCTGCAGATTTCTGCTTCAATCTCTGGAAGATCTGGACAACAGTTTAAGGAAACTCAACTCTCGCTTGTTTGTCGTGCGAGGGCAGCCAACAGATGTCTTCCCAAGACTCTTCAAAGTAAGAGAATAAAGTCATTTTCTGAAACATAGTGAATTAAAACTCATAGTGAATTAAAACTCATGTCCTGATGCTATTCTTGGTTTCACTCACTTATGATTT